AGGACTTTGACGGCTTCCCGGTTTAGGTTCGTATACACAATGGGGTGTCGGGAGAGGAGCAGTCGCGTTTCGACTTGCCTCTGGGGCAGGCTGGCGGGAGTAGGGCTTGGGGGGGTTTCGTATTTGACTGCCACCATCAGGCCCCGAGACCGTCTTGTATACGCTGGACAGATTCTGTCAGCATTTCTGTTCTTGCCCTATACAAAGACTCCAATGGTTATGCAATGATGGGGATAGAGTCACACGTAGGAGACTGCGTCTGTGCTATCTCCACGGTCATCGACAGGCGAGCGTTGTGACGTCCGTATGCTGGTCTCGGCTCTAGAGGCTAGGCACTCTGATGCTGTTGCTGCTACTCCCTTGCCACCCTTGCTGCTGTGTACAGTGCCTATGACACCAGCTTGCGAGATGAGAGTGTTCATACCGCGTCAAGGGGAAGGAGAGCCAATCCGTCTGAAGTCGTTGTACCCGAGGAGGGTTGCTGGTACTGGCCCTGTAGAGGTAGTGGTAGTGATGCTGGCTTTGGTCTCATAAGGAATGGTCATGTGCAGTTACGAATGAGCACCTCATATCTACCCGAGGGGCATGTCTATTCGGTGGTATTCACCAGTCAATGGGACTCGGGACAAACGTTTACCGCTGATTGTGCTGTGAATACAGGTAGAGCTCTTGTTGTTGCTGCTGCCAGTGTAGTTGTGATGAGAGGGTTCCTCCTCAGACCGTATGGGGGTAGTCTTGATGGCGCCCTCAGAGCTCCTTCATACTGCATGGTTTCAATACGGTAACGATCTATATGATGTAGCAGATTGTGGGCGTTTCTGTGGCTGAACAGAGATTCGTCTCGGCAGGTTCATCTTGTTATCGACCGAAAATATCGCTCTGAAAATCGTCGTGCCCTCACGGTCCAGTCTCCGAGTGAGATAGGAAGCTCCTCTAGTGGCACTGAGGGCTCCCTTAGCTTTGAAGTGTTTGATATTGAGAGAGGCAGCAATGATATAGTAGGCTTGTTGTTGTTGCCTTTGGGATGCTATACAATGACATTTGTGGTAGGACGGCACATCTCCTTATCGTAACACGCCAACGAACTGGACTCCTTTATCTGAGTGAAGAACCAAGTCTTTTATCGCAGTACCTATCATGATCGATTCCTCTTGTGTCTCTCCTCGTTGCTTTCCGGGTATATTATCATTATTATTTTTATTATTATTATTGTCATAATTCAACGAGGAGGTTCAGTCAGCATATTGAAGCTAGTGGAGTTTAGTAGTGTGTAGTCCGTGTAGCATTGTCTATGGTGCTTGTATGCATCTACTACTATTCTGCTACTACTACTGATGATGCATGATGCCTAGCAGCTCACTTGGAGGGAAGGGAGACAATTGTTGTGTTGTCCAGTGGTGGTGGTGGTAGGATTGGGGTAGGAGGGTTCTGTCAGGATTGGCTTCCTAATCTACTTCTATTTATTGATAGTCGAGGATGGGCAGACGAAAGGGGTAGTAGCAGTAGGGGACTATGAGAGGTGTCGGCTAGAGGGCAGCACCAGTTCAGTTGTCGAAGGATGTTGATTATTGTTCCTTCAG